GTCAATTCAATTGAAGAATACAATAGGATTGTTAGATAGCCCATAACCCTAGATCGTTTTCATTACATTGATATCATTAAAATCTGCTCTTTCTCTGTTCAAAGTTTATTATTTATATTTTTCTTATTTAATTAGTTGGAATAAAATATTTTTAAATTTAATTCTTGTTTAGATAATTAGGATAGTCTAATTTAGTTAATAGCTAATTATAAGTCCTCGTGGGTTCGACATCCGACTTTTAGTCACTTTATTACTTGACGACCGCATATACTTGCGTGAGTGTGTTTGGTCGCAACACTTGACCACTGGAAATTTTCTAATGTGGATGTTATTACTTCTTTTTTCATTTTAAGATCAATTGAGCTCTCGACCATCATCAGAGGCATAGCAGTATTTAAACCTTATGGTTTAGAATTATAATTTTTTTAAGTTATTAGTATTTAAATTAATAAGTTATATATATTCAATAGATTTCTTAAGACAAATATATTATTTGAACAAAAGTTATTAGGTTCGGCCGAACCCGCATCCCACACTCTACCTCCGCCCCTGATGACCACTAGTTATTCTCATTTGTCTCTTTTATTGTGTTTTGCCCCTTAGATGGAAATGAAAGTGCTCGTTTATATGAGTAATTGTTTTCACGGGGATCAATTGACTGAAAACATTATTCAGATTCATTGGATTCACGTATTACGATATATTTAGATAATGTCTTACTTGAGCAACACTAGAGTTGCTTTCACTGTTATCAATTTGAGCTGTATATCGAATTAGTGGTTTCGTTTTAATTTACGTGAACTTTTTTGATTAGGCATAAAGGTCAACAAAAAATACTGTTGAATTTATAGTATAAAATGAGATACACATATTTTATGTGGCTAAAGGTAAAATATTTTTAAATATAAAAAGAAATTATTCTTTTTTAACATAAACTAAAAATAAAATAGATTAACATAAATTAAAACGGATGGATTACCATTGCAAGATATACTAACATGCAATCACAACCACAAAATGACAAGGATGTAACATCGTGAATTTACCCATTACAAGAGCAAAGCATTACAAGAGACGTGTCGTTAAGAGAAATATGTTGCAAAAGAAAAAAAATAAAACTGAGTAATATTGTTGCCATTCACTTTAAAAGAACTAGAATAGGCCCTAAACATCTGCACTCTTTGCACATCTTGTGTTGCATCATAAACATCTTGTTACTCTTTGATTAGATTCTTTTATTAACTTTGCGGATAAGAAATTTTAAGTGAATAAAAGGATCAAAGTTAAGCTTAATAAAATCTGTTAATTACAAAAT